CCAAAAAAAAAAAAAAAAAAAAAAAAAAAAAAAAGCCCTCTCAAACATGTATGTAGAAGCATGTACGTTGAAGCATTTCTTGTAAACGTGAAAAATGGGAAACAACCTAAATGTCCATCCTGGAGAAATAAATTCTGGAATATTCAGATATTGGAATACAGTGCAAGTGAGAATGAAATAAAATTCCATGTATTCACATGGAAGTTCTTAAAAATATAAAGTTGAGTAGAAAAGCAAATTACCGAGGGACACAGAAAGCAAAATGTCAATTATATAAAGTTTTTAAATATGCAAAAGGACACTTGCTCACATCTGGAGATTCATACGTATATTGTAAAAGTGTGAAGACATACATGGGAACAATGAACAGCAGAGTGAGTGGGGCAGGAAGGAGGGAAGAGAGTGTAATTGAGGGCCGTCAACGTTAGACTGTGTCATCTGGGTGGTAGATACATGGGCTTTCATTAGATTATTTTCTAACCTGTTTTTATGTCTTAAATATTTTATACCAAAAAATAGTAAAGCCAGGGCTTCCCTGGTGGCACAGTGGTTGAGAGTCTGCCTGCCGATGCAGGGGACACGGGTTCGAGCCCTGGTCTGGGAGGATCCCACATGCCACAGAGCAACTGGGCTTGTGAGCCACAACTACTGAGCCTGCGCGTCTGGAGCCTGTGCTCTGCAACAAGAGAGGCCGTGATAGTGAGAGGCCCGCGCACCGCGATGAAGAGTGGCCCCCGCTTGCCGCAACTGGAGAAAGCCCTCGCACAGAAACGAAGACCCAACACAGCCAAAAATAAATAAATAAAATCATTAATTTAAAAAAATAGTAAAGCCAAAATAGAAGACAAGGGAGAAATAATAATAGGGTCTTAAGGCCAAAACCAGGTATGAACATATCTAGGGAAAAGGACCCGTGAGAGGCAGCACCCAGCACAACCACAGCGCTTGATGGAAGAATGTGAGACTTGGGGAATTCTTCTCTCAGGGAGTTTTTTTCTTTTTTTCTGTAACTTCAAAAGCAGTGGCCACGCATACAATTTTGAAAATGAAGGAGACCTTAAAATTTGGTTTCAATTTCTACCAGCCTATCTTCTCCACATGGAAAGCAGAGGAAATCAAGTTCTCCCTGACTTCAGGGTCTGTCTGAGATGAGGGGGTAGCTTCTGGGAGGCTGTTATTGATCACACTGAGATGGTAGGGGCTTGAGGAGCTACATTATCTGCCAATCACGGCCAGAGCCCTGGGAGGGTGGTCACCTGCAGCTGGTGGGTCACCAGGATGACAGTCTTCCACCTGAGCGCCTTCTCAATGCACTCTTCAAAGATGTGCTTCCCCATGTGGGTGTCCACGGCCGACGGGGGTCGTCCAGCAGGTAAAGCTCGCAGTCAGAGCAGACAGCTCGGGCCAGGCTGATCCTCTGCTTCTGCCCCCCCGAGAGGTTGAGGCCCCACTCTCTGATCTGCGGACAGGCAGCCAAAGGCACTGTGTCTAGAGTGTGACCCAGCCAGGTGCGCTCCCACCAGCAAGGTGGGCAGGTGGACAGACTGAGCCCCCTCCATGCACACTCCTGGACACCTAATGATTTGGCACCCCTGGCATTTAAAAAATATTTTTCAAAATCTGCTTAGTAGGGGATGAAAAAACTGATTTTCAGTTAACTAAAATTCATAATTCATAGTTAGATACATTTTTTCTAAATCAGTCAGCTTCTTAGAAGGCATATTAAACTTTTAACAATTTAGTTTGTAAAATAAATCATTTATTCCCAAGAAACAGCACCTTCTTACATCTTATCCATGTTTTAAATCTCCGTTGACTGCAACCACCAACTGGGAGGACCACTGGCCTGGGTTTGGGGTATTGCCCAAGACTGTTTGCACTATAGCTGCCGTGGTGGGCAGGCTCTGCTGTGGCTGCCCTGGGAAGGGCCACCTTCCATGACACCCATCATGTCAGGAGTCGAGGGTGCAAACCGGAATCACTGGGCAGAATGCCTGGGGTCCCCTAGAAGACTGGCACCCCAGGCAGCTACTGGCCGGCGCATCCCTCAGCCAGGCTCTGAGGACGAGGCAGCCAAGGTCTAAGTCCTATCCCTGCTCTACCATGAACTCTGGAGACTCTGTAGAGAAGAAGCAGAGTTTAAAGAACAGCAGGATGACCTGTTGTCACTGCTCTGCCTCCATTTCACCATGTGACCATAGATAAGCTGCTTGACCTGGGCAAGGCTTAGTTTCCCTACTCACTCAGTAAAGACTGAATAAATGCCTACTGTGTTCCTCTAATGAGAGCGTAATACCTACACTATGCCAGGCACAATTCAAAGCATGTATGTATCAACTCACTTAAACCTCACATCATCCTGATGAGCTCAGTACTATTATTGATGCATTTTACAGACCAGACCTGGTTCTTCCTCCTGAAAAGACCCTGAACAAGACAGCTGAGCTCTCTGCCCTCCGGGGTGAACACGCCCATCCTTAAAGGAAGGATAATAAAAGAACTGACCTCCTAGGGTTATCTGAAGCTTAACTAAGACAATACATTAGAGTTGCTAGAACAGTACCTTGAATACAGTAAGATAATCTATCTGTTATTAGATAACAAAATCAAGACAACAGTGTTGCTTTTATCTTACGGAGGTCTTATATGGAATAAAGGCGGCTACAGATGTGCAAGATGGAGAGTTATCAGGACAATGCAGCAGTCAGAACTGACACTGCCGTGGTGGGGCCATGGTTGTCATTCCCACTGTCAAAGGAAGTGCTGCCAGAGAGGAGCAGGGCAGTGGGTGGGGCAAAGGTGGACTCGGGAAGCTTATCTTCACAGGGTCTCCACTCTTGCTTCAGAAGGAGAAGTCGGAGGTCAGCTCCCACGCTTGTGGGGCAAGATAGCCTCTTTGTCATCTCCCAAGGTCAGATGAGCCCCAACTTCCCTCCCTCGGTGTGGGAGGCTCTGAGGCTGCAGAGCCAGCTCGGGCTGCTTTGGGAAGGAAGAGCCGGGGTCCCTCCTCTACCTACCCAGGGAGGCAGGCTGGTGTTGCGGTCTGGGAGCCACACGCCTGGAGTCGAGTTCCCCGGTAAATGCGACCCGTGTCCCAACCAAGGACACCGAGAATCACCAACACCAAGCAGAAAGATTAGCAAAGGATTTATACAAGCACAAGTATAGAAGCTTACACAAACCGTCCGGACAGGGTCCCACTCGGAGAGAAGTGAGTGAGACCCCGGCTAACAGTCGGGCGAGGCTTTTATACCCTTCACAGGGCGGGACGTCCCCAAGGCGGGAGGGAGCTGTTTAATTTTGAATCAGCCAATCAGGAACCCGGTTCTTCCCGCCCCAAGCAAGCAAGCAAGTTTCTCACAGAAGCCAAAATGTGCTGTTAGCCCTGAAGCTGTTCTTCCGTTTCTTTCGTCACACTGGGGACCCCAGAACACCATGACAGGGGCTCTGTCACAACAGGGCATGGGGACGCTCGCCTCCTGCTCACCTCCGTCATGTCTCGGAAGGGAAGAATTTCCAGATCATGGTTCAGGGAGCAGCAGTGGAGCACCTGGAGGTACCTGCGAAGGACAGGGAGCTAAAGGGACAAGTGGCCGGGCCGCACACCCTCCAGCCTTCCCAAGTTTGGAAGGGAAAGGCTTGCATTCCATGCTGAGAAATTCGGCCTCGATCCTCCATTTAATGGTAAACCACAGGAGGCTTTTTTCATTTCCTTCCTCCCTTCATTTCTTTTATTTTTTAACATCTTTATTGGAGTATAATTGCTTTACAATGGTGTGTTAGTTTCTGCTTTATAACAGAGTGAATCAGTTATACATACACATATGTCCCCATATCTCTTCCCTCTTGCGTCTCCCTCCCACCCTCCCTATCCCACCCCTCTAGGTGGTCACAAAGCACCGAGCTGATCTCCCTCTGCCATGCGGCTGCTTCCCACTAGCTATCTATTTTACGTTTGGTAGTGTAAATATGTCCATGCCACTCTCTCACTTTGTCACAGCTTACCCTTGCCCCTCCCCGTATCCTCCATTCTCTAGTCTAGTAGGCCTGTGTCTTTATTCCTGTCTTACCCCTAGGTTCTTCATGATCTTTTTTTTTTCCCCTTAGATTCCATATATATGTGTTAGCATACGGTATTTGT